GAAGGGAAATAATAAAATTAAAACAACATAATAAAAATAAAACGTAATAAAATATTTTTATTATGTTTTATTTTTAAAGCATAATTAAATATGTTTTTCTGTTTAATTTTTATTATTTTATTATTTCCCTTCTACGTGACTTTACCGAAAGAACCAAGAAGAAGTTTGGCTTCATAAAAATTGTAAAACTGGATTGACCACCACTTCATAGGAATAATTTAACAATAAAAAACGGCGAGGCCAATGTGGGCTAATGAGAGTCCTGGGAAAGCCCCGAAATTGGCTCCTCGGGGGAAGCCGCAATAAGGGAAACAGCACGCGGATAACAGATGGAACGGGCCTTGATGTGACTTAGGAAATTAATTCAATAAACTAGAACAGACACACAGACACTCACACCCGGACAGTCACAATCAAAAGGATACCTGCTCCTTTGTGAGATAAATCAAAGACCAAAAACAGACAAATGACGAGCCATGAAGCGAAATCAAAGGAATTGCAGTCCTTCGTGACAAGGAAGCATAGATTTCAGATATAAACGACGAAGCCAGAACCACCAAACCAGTCTTGGAATGGCAAGCTCCGGGGTAAGGTCCTCGAAATCAACCATGAGTGTTTAGTCTTGCAGAGTAGAGGGGCTATGTGTTGCTAAGTGTTGAGTTCGGCACTGACAGACTGGGTATCGCTGAAAGTTTTATTCTGCATTCATCCATATGTTTGTGATTCGCTTGCAGAGTCAAGGACTGCAATAAGTTGTATTGTACTAAGCTATAAGAGTCGTGAGAGGCTAAGAGGTGTGCAAATACATTTTCATTTCATATTGTGATCAGGTAAGAGAATGGAGTCATACACTAATATCGAGAATGCACGAAATGTGTGTCAAAGCAACTGATATCCTGATGATAGGATTTTTTTTATGAGTTTTGGAGAGTGAGTGAGGAGCCGTGACGAGCAGCTCACAGCAGGAGCCCTCCCGAGGGAGGGCTGGTGGCACCAAGGGTGTTCGCCCGTCGCAAGCTGCTGCTGACAAGGAGGAGTACAGACATTCCGACCGCTGATCGACCCGGGCGCACAGATAATCTGCGGACGTGCTGACCCGGAAGCCCCTAGCAAACTCCAGCAAAGGTCGAGCTCGATCCACAATCAGCCGTGCCTGGTGCCAAGGAGGGTTACGCGCTACCGCCCGGCGAACGAGCTGCAAGCGCTATCTGGCGACGTGACCATCGTACACACCACTGTGGACGCAGCCTGATCCATCGAGCCCTGCCAGCACGGGCATTGGGTGCGCCGGCTCAACCCCATCCAGCTGTGGACGAGGAGCCTGGCTGAACGCAGTCGAGTAAAAAAACTACACTCGGTGTGGCAACTCACAAACCCGCCGACCCAACACCCCCTGCTGGGGACCTGTGGTATTTTCGGTACAAGGAACACGCCATCTGGGACAAACTCAAACCATATTACCTGCTACAATTTATTATTGGACCTTGTGGTGACTGTCATCCAACACACACACACACTTAATGCGCATATCGGTACAAATACGGTTGTTCTGCGGTGTTTTTGTCTCACATAGGGTTACCATTTCAAGGTAGTGTGTTAATTATTAACTGGTCGTGGAGAAGCATTGTTCTGTCCCTTAAGTTGCATGAATGCGGTCGTTTAGCAGTATTTTAGTCGTTTGTTTCTTTTAATGACGTAATCTTGCCCGCAAAGTCATTGATGTCCTACTAGCCATTTGATAAGCATCTAATTTTCGAATAGACACACTCGCATGAATAGTGTGTTTTGAGATATTTATTTTAATCACATAATCCTGCCAATTAATTCAATGATGCTCCCTTTGCAATTGGGCACATGTTTCTTTAGCACGTTTCCGTATGAATGTTGTATTTTTTTAAAGGACTTTCCTATTATCGTGTATTGTCGCGTTAATATGAGGAGTTAGCCGATTACTCTTCGGTTCTTTCGGTAAAGTCGCGTAGAAAGAAATTAAATAAATAATAATGGAATACGACGTTTCGAATGCAACACAAGCAACCATGAATGAGAAAACAAACATAGTAAACTTGGAAATATAATGCAATACAATACAGAGAGTCGGCCAACAAAAGAGTCAACACCCCACCTGGTTGATTACGTTCTTCCAAAGATTGCTAAATTTGATAGAGACAAAACATAGACACACCTGATGATGGTTGCTTGTGTTGCAATCGAAACGTCGTATTCTATTATTATTTTATTGTATTTCTTTCTATGTGACTTTACCGAATGAACCAAAGAGTAATTCCTGCAGTCAAGAAAGCTTCGAATCGAGTTAGCTTATTGTTTTATTGCTCTGTTTAACAACATAACCATAAGACTTGACCATTGATGTTTTAATTGTATGGATCTATGAGTATGATATCTGCAGGAGTACTGTTGTGGCAATTCCGATCATAAGTGTGTTCGCATATTAGAGTGTTTTTGGATATTAAAGTTGCTTAACACAGAAGAGTCTGAGTGGTTCCTTCCTAAGTTCATGCATATGAACTGTATCCTGCGGCGAGATCTGAATCCTGAGACCGGACATAATTACACTAAACCATAATCAGTAATGTTTAAGCGAGAATCATAATCAGTAAAAGTTAAAGCGATAATCATTGTATTATCACGATTGGTAATACACCCCTAGACAATGAAGCCGAGCATCACACAAACACTCACATTCGCACATCAATTACAAATAACCACACATACAAAATACACTCCCTAGACAACGTAGGAGCCAATAAAAATACGCATAACTACACGCACACCTATTGATCATAATACAAACTAACACACACAAATTAATAATACTCCTATACACACACACATAGATAATATACATACATTTAATCATACATACGATTGATCACATTACACTTACACTCAATTAACATAAATTTACAAGAATTACACACACGTTTAATAATGATTGTTTTAATAATTTGCATAATTTTATCCATTTTATTAATTTCATAAATTTACATTGTTTCATAAATTTTTCATATTTTCCATTTTTCCTTACATTTTTAAATTGTCATTATTTTTCACAACGCAATATATACAGGACACGGACAGTACGAGCGGCTGAAGAAGGCAGGACAGCAGGGAGGTCTTGACAGCCAAGATGTTGAAGATCAACTCTCTGAACGGCCCCCGGGCGCCCCTTTTGACCCCCTTGACTTCAAAAGCCCGGGGTCGCGTCGTACTGCGCGGCCAAACATGCGCCTGCCTGTGGTTACTGCTTGTTTTTTTTTCCGCCCTTACATGGATCGCCGCAGCCGGGGCTTCCGCGATCCACTGTCTGCCCTTCCGCATTCAAGAATGCATCACTCACCCTCGATAATCTGGATTAACACACGACGAAGCTCCCCTAACCTCACCGTCTGCCTTTCTCGCTTTTTCCGCCCTGGCTTCTCCCGATGTTGTTAATGACTTCGCGGCTGGACCAGTAACCTTTTTGTGCCCATACTCTATTAAGCCAACTCAAGGGCACCGCGATGTAAATTGTCCTGCAAGGGTCGGCCAATCCCCTGGCACCAGGAAACCATGGGACTTTCCCCATAGGGACCCTTCAGATTAAAAGCTGTTGTGCCAAGCAATCCCACGTCAGGACACTACGTGTGTGCGCTGCGTGTGTGTATTCAGTGTGGGGGAAAGAGGGGGGGTCGTGGAACTTGCAGAGTGGCTTCGAGGCCGTGGCACCACAGTAGCTATGTGAAATGCACATCCATAGGCCGCTTCCTGCTGTTCTGAGTGCCCTGAATGACATCATGAAAAAATTGTGAAATTTTAAAATTAAAATATCACTCTTATTGCTCGTGTAGTGTCTTCAAAAATTACTCACACCGACACGTCGTAACAAATCACCTGCTTACACTTTATTCACCAATTCTTGCACCAGTTGTAGGCACTCCTATAACTATCTATACGGTCACTCTTATCTACCTTTCACCTCACTTATCCTGCACTCAGCAGCTCTGCTCTCGCAACTCCGCACACAGCGTCCTCGCACACAGCGACTCCGCACACAGCATCTCCGCACACAGCGTCTCCGCACTCAGCAACTCTACATCTCCACCGTTGCCCTCGCCTACGCTCCCTCAGACCCACTCACCCGTCTGGCCCGGGCGGGGGGATCAGCCAACACCCGCCCGGCGACGGCGTGAGGGTTGAGGTCCCGTTGACGGCTGGAGTGGCAGCGGCGAGATATCTTCACTCTTCGTCCCCGGCAACAACTCCCCCTCCGCTCACGCACACACCCTTATATCCCTCTGCTAATTGTCCGAGACCTCTCGTGCGTCTCTTTAAGCTCTCGCCAGGCCGGTGCCTGTTGGCCCATTAATCAAGCCTTATCTCCCGCCTCCCTGGCAACACCTCCGGTCTCAACGTGCACAACCGGTCGACCCCATTTGCACCTGCTTCGCCCCTTAGCAGCTGGCGGTTTGTCGGTGCAAACCCCATGTTGCACACGCGCACCGGTTTGCCCTTGGTTGCCCTCGGTTAACTGTGCGCACCGTGTATTTCACTCCTCTACACTCGTGCCGAGTTTTCAGAAATATCAATGGTATTGGCCGTATTACTAATGCCAGTATTCAGTCATGCAAATGGTATTGCTCATGCCAGTATTCAAACATGTCAATGTTATTGCCACTGCCTGTAATTCAGATATGAAAATGTTATTGCTGGTGCCAGTACGGTATTCAGAAATCTCAACGGTATTACCCGTGCTGGAAATTTAGAAATCTTAATGGGTTGGCTGCTCGTAAATTTTGAGTGCCTCTGTGTGTGCCCTGCCAAGTGCCAGCACTTGGTGAGAGTAGCCTGCATGCAGCGTGCATGTTGTATCATCAGCGATATGCTGGTGACGTTGCAGTAGTGCCTCTATCGTCCGGAGAGCGGAGTGGCTCCTGCCGTGGAGGGGGGGGGGTGGAAGTGCGTGGGGTGGGTTGGCCCCCCACGCTCCAGCCACTGTCGCCACTGTCCACCTGCTCAGTGTTGGAGTGATCCGGGGTGGGGTGGGGTAGAGGGTGGCAGGGTGACTGCACGGTCGCGTTATCAGCCCACGCTTAGCCGTGGCTTCAGTGATTGTAAGGCGCAGCACACAGGGGCTACCCGTCTATCAGAAGAAGGCAGGCAAACTGCTGAATGTGCACGAAAAAACGCCACTTGGTGAACTTTTCCAGAAAATCTGGGAAGACTGACAAAGTCATCAATCTTTTGGTAAGGATATTGTACTTACAGTATGTTGTCTGTTCAATTTAAAGAGATCTGTAATATAGACAGCGATTTTATTCGTGTCTTTTACTATGTGTCAATGAGAGGCAATGTTATTGTTAAAATCTGTTGCAATAATATCGACCAATTTATGAGTCGTGCTACAGTGTGCAGTGTTTCATAAGCATACATGAATGTATCTCTAAGATGTTAAATTTAACATAGTGTACCATAACCTCATGGGAGCATGTGGTTTAGTTTATTATTAGGACAAAATAAATGTAACCATGCTTTTAAAAGTAGGCTGCTTATCAATATATTTTTTATTCATCATATGGAAAGTATACCAAACTACTCTGATGCATTGTACCATATGTGCAAATCCATGCTCCATGTGTGGGCAATAGACGCATTTTAGTCAACGTCTTTCTACATAATTATAAGCAATTTGCAAATTTCCTATAAATTGCGGAGCACATGTTAACGTTGCAATTTGAACGTCCTTGAAACAAATCCATTTCATAGAAAAGTTAGCATTGACTTTACATATCACGGTCACCACAATTTAGGTAGAACTTGTGTAATCCCACTCATCACGAATATAGAGTCGACTTTTGACCCACAGTCATGTTGCCCCAACCCTCTGTGTCACGTCCTATCCCAAAGCAGTGGTTGTGGCTGGAGTTATAATTTCACATGTGGAGGCATGCTGTATACATGTTTGAAATCACAGTAACTTGCTGTCCATGCAGCTAACCAAACATGCAGCCATTCTCAAACCTTCGTTAAATCCCTCCAGACAAATGGTTTACTGCTTTCTCCCAACTGTGGCTGTACTGGGGTTGTATAATGTTACAAGTGTTTATTACCGGCATGGACAGCAGGACTATCTTTACACCGGGCCACACATGCTTCCGGCTCTAGACTCGTATGTTAGAGACTAGTGAGTTGAATTACATTTATCGACCTCGGTGCACCGCAGTGAGTCAGGCTAAGACTGTGTATTTATGTTGACCAGGCATCGGCTACACCTGCCACCACTGATTTTGGAGAATTGCTCTTTCATTGAGGTTAACGGAACATTGTGTGGGATGACGGGCATTTATACAGCAACGTAAAATGTATAAGTGGCCTGCAAAATCACTATTATCATATTTATGATGAAAATTCCTCGTCACTTTGAAGTATAATTGTGCAAACACTTACATATGCAATGTTAAAAAAAAATTTCAAGCACATTTAGTTTAAGTACATTATTATTATTCTTTGGGTCTTTCGGTAAAGTCACGTAGATAGGTTGAAAGAAAATAACACCAAACTACGACGTTTCGATCACTGCTAATTGTATTGCATTTTAGATTAAACAAAAGCTAACAAAGACGATAAAACGCGATGTTCTTATAGAAACTAGCCAGAATTATAAAAACAAAACCACACATTTAACAAAAAAACACATTTATTTTCGGCGTGACACTCGGTGAATTATTACATCGCAGGGTCACGATAGATGTAGCGGGGAGGCCTTCATCCAGCAGTGGATTGACCACAGCTAATGATGATGACACCGATTGACAGTGTTCCTGTTTGTACTTGCAAATAGGGCTGAACGATTTGGGGAAAATATCTAATTGCAAATTTTCTGACAGATATTGAGATTTGAGTTGCGATTATTTTTGTTATGTCAAGCTTCAGTTCAATATTCACTGCGTAACAGATTTAAAACACGTGATGGAGCATTAACACATGCTACCATCAAAATATGAACATATCTATATACTCTAATGCAAGGATGAGAACTTAGAAGATATGAATTGCTTCCAACATGTATTTATTAAAATGTTTTAACTGAAATAGAACACTCGAACATAGAACAATCGTTACGTTAAATAAATAAAGTTATAATAATTAAAAAACACACACAATTCCAATAAGAAAGTAATAGGGACTTTTAAAATCGTAAAAAAAAAAATCGCAGCCTTTGCGATTTGCTAATCGCATTGTTTCAAATTGCGATTTCGATTCGAAATCGATTAATCGTTCAGCCCTACATGCAAAACAGCGCGTGTTGTAACAATTATTCGCAGGAGAGCATTTCAGCCGTGCACCATGGTGCGACCCCTGCTTCGCCTCACCCTCCAGTTGTCAAGCCTCGTGGTGTGCCTCTGTCACTCCGAGCAGCACGACTCCTCACAAGGTAAGTGAAATAAAAAACAAATATATTGACTGCTTGTCAATGAATACGTACATTTGCCGACTACTTATGTATCACTGCACGCACGAGGTTGCAGACTATTGTTTACCAGCGCAGTTTGCCTCTGCATATTTTACAAATGTGCCCATCTTGCTAGGCTTACGAGGCATGAATCTGAGTAATAAATTATGTTTGGTGACTCATCTCATCATCTTATCTGCATTTATAATGCAAATCAATAATCCAACAGCGAGGGAAGAGCTGCTGTATTATGAAAGGCTATATTCTGAACCTTATGCATTCAAATTTATTTTATGGTAGATAGATTATACATACTCTTTGGTTCTATTGGGTAAAGTCACGTAGGTGAAAATTGTTTACCTTTTTATCCTGAAATATATACAGTATTTGTAAGAAAGGTGTTTAATTACAATGATAGTGTACTCACAGTCCTGATACTAATTGCACATGAATTGCACATCATGTACAGTACATGTAATGTGCCATCCTTTGTTATCAAAACACAATCCTGGACATTTTAAAATACTATGCCTGTGTAAATAACGAGTGAGCTTGTATATTCTGCCTGCCAAATAGGAATGATATTTATTCTCGTGTACTGCAGGCTCGGTTCGAACACGCAGAAACAAATGCAACGAAGACAAAACAAAGACCCCCCCCCCCCCCCCGTATAGCCTCAACAGAATGTTGGGGCAAGTGCTGTTAGCGAGCACCTATGAAGTCCGGCACGGTACGCGAGGGGGTGGGTGGCCAACACAACGCCCGACCGCCTTTGTAGCCCAAATACCGATATTTGCACACCGTAATGGGCACTCATTTGAGGCTGAGTCGACCTAGGGGAGGCCCAGGACCGGTTTAGATAATTGTAACCGGTGTTGGTCGTGATTGGGAATCGAACCCAGGTGGCCAGGTTCGAGGCGGTGCCACCGCTCCCACTGCAGCAGCAACAACCGGCGGCGACATCACCACGACGCTTGTGCCACTGCTCGCAAATGCACACAAGCATGCACACCACCATTGTCATCTCTGAGGCTTAGCCCCCGTGTGCCAAGAGCAACTCATGCCATAACTTCGCTGTCCCGATAGCTAGACACAGCCACGTTTATTAATAGTGCATACTGCATACCTACATGACACGGAATGCACCTAATTTCGTCATATCGCCAGAAGCTAGCAAAGTTGAGCTTGCACAGTGCTTGTTGTATGGGCGACCACCTAGCATAACTGGTGTTATAGTCTGCAGGGATATGTGGTGAGCAGCCGAAGGTAGTGCAAAGAAAACACACCTATTGTTGATCTGTACTTCAGTGATCAGACATCTGTGCTCCCTGCCTTCAAGAACCCGCATTGACCAGCGTGGTCAAGCATGGATGCCCTCATCCAGCGATGGAACACATTCCTGCGGAGGGAGCTGGTAGGAACGTTGCTCGGTCAATGGCCAGGGTCAACGGCGGCACCACGTGGTGTATTCCGCAAATATGCCTGACTGTGAGGGCGGGCACAAGCCGGCGTGAGTAGGTTAAACGTTGAGTTTTATAAGGGCACCACGGGGTGACCAGCCCCTCCCCACCCTCACCACCCAGCCCCTCCCCACCCAGCCCCTCCCCACCCAGCCCCTCCCCTCCCCACCCAGCCCCTCCCCACCCTCCCCTCTCCACCCAGCCCCACCCCTCCCATTTTTGGATGCACGACGGACGAACACAATAATCCCCTGTGGGCTGGTGTAACCAGGAGGTTCCGACCAGTATAAACAAAGGGCTGTACATTTATGTAAGTGTGCACTGCGTACCTATGCATCTGTCACTCCCTGTTGTCCCTGTGCCCATTGTGTACGCGTACAATAGAGAAAATTTCCATTATTGGGGAAGCGTGCTGCTTGCCGTGGCTCCCGCCGCCACCTCCACCTGTCAAGCCGCCCACCTTCATGCGCAGGCACACTGCCCAGGTGAGGAATGCCTTTATCCACATCAGGAAGTCACTAATTCCTGTATTCACACACCTAGCTCAACTTTACATTTGCTAGCAACCTACCATTTGGCAACCTTTGCCTATTTTTTAACCACCCACATTTCAGTGACCCAGTGGAATCCATTGGCCAGGCTTCAAGTACATTACACTGTAGATAGTTTGACTGAATCCCAAAGAGTGCAACGGGGCTATGATGTACACGTGTAAACTTACACCTCCATGCACACGCTCTCTCACACGTGCCCGCGCAACCGCCCAGGAGGAGAGCAGCAAGAAGCCAGTGCCTGGAGGATCCAATGATACATCCTGTAGCTGTGCTCCAGGTCCTCCTGGTCCACCCGGTCCCCCGGGCCCACAGGTGCGGCTGTTACAACACACATACACAATGATAACTTGATAGCGTGTGGGGGTTCACACTCCTGCAATCCGGAAACTTGGTGAAGCACACCTGCAAAATAGACTATCCTTTGTCTCTTAGTTCTCACCTGTTTAATGAAACAAACTGAACTAAAACACTGAGACTGTGCACATGAGACATCCACCTAGAAGAACCACGTGGTGATTATTTTGCAATCTATGCAGCAGTAACGCAATGCAAGAGGCTGCAATACAGTATGGATTTATAAACGTGACCGCAGGTTGAGTCTGAAGGTACCGCATATCGGTCACCCATGTGCGGCGTCTGAGTCTTCTTCCCTTCCATGTGTGGGTTTTCTCTGGGCACAACATTCTTTCCTGCACACAAAAATAGCTCAAAGGAAGTGGCCAAATGTCCCAAACAGGGTCCTCCTAAAAAGAGATGTACACCCAGTGAGGTGTTACAGCATGAATAAAGTATATTTAGTTGTTTTTACACAAATTCCAAATGCACTTTATCCAATAACACTCAAGTGTTCACATGTTACTCATGATATAAAATGCATTTAGAGATATAATGGGGGCGGTGTAGTGGCGCAGTTGTCAGCGCACTGTCCTATGAATCTAGAGGGTTTAAGTTTGTTTTCTGCCCACGGCTAACATCAATAATAATCTGACCCAGTCCTGGGGCCTCTTTTCATCAACCCACATTGACCAGTGTGGTCAAATATGGTGCTCGCCAAGCTGCATTGACTTTCGGTTGCCGAACGAATACATTATAAGGTCGCACTCATTACACACAAAGTGCTTTCCACAAATGAACCACAATACATTGGTGATCTCGTCAAGGAACATAAACCATCATGCAAACTCTGGTCATCCTTGCAGAGGCTTTTGGCGAGCCATCAAACAAAGACGGTCACTGCATCACGCACTTTCAGATGCGCTTTTGAAGCCATCTGCAATGCTCTTCCTTCTATTAGGAAGCGACTGGAGCTATGCACTTTTAAATATAGATTGAAAGCTAATCTCTTCAGAACTGCTTTTTGTGTTTAGTTTGTTGTCCTTCCTCCATACCTCCAATTAGTGCTGTTGAATAAGTACAGTGTGAAGGTAGTTCAACTTACATACACACATACAAATGACCCCTATAACTGGCAAAGCATGTGGAAGTTATATACATCTTTGTTGGTTTACGATATTGTATTTTGATTTTGTAGGGCCCACCAGGGTTGGGGACTACAGGCTCTGTTGGATCAAAGGGAGACAAGGTAATTAACTCTTGAGTACTGTACTCATTCAAACCCGGGGCATTTGAGTCTGTAGGTTTTCGAATTCTGTTCCGCTGCTCTAGAATCCAGAATTTTCAGCTAAAGTGAGAGGCGAAAGTGCAAAGTGTGGTTACGGAGGTAAAACATTCCAAACTATGTTTTTACCTGAGCTAGAATACACTTTAATAAAGTGCTGAGGTAAGTTGACAAGAGGAAATAGTTATTTATGACTGAAAAAACATACCTGATGTGTATACTTAACATCATTATTTTATCACTTAAACAAAGAAAACATTTTTATATTACTCTTTGGTTGTTTCGGTAAAGTCACGTACAGTGAGGGAAAAAAGTATTTGATCCCCTGCTGATTTTGTACGTTTGCCCACTGACAAAGAAATGATAAATCTATAATTTTAATGATAGGTTTATTTTAACAGTGAGAGACAGAATAACACAAACATCCAGAAAAACGCATGTCAAAAATGTTATAAATTGATTTATAACACGGTGAAGTTGTCCTGTCCCCTTAGCAGAAAAACACCCACAAAGCATAATGTTTCCACCTCCATGTTTGACGGTGGGGATGGTGTTCTTGGGGTCATAGGCAGCATTCCTCCTCCTCCAAACACGGCGAGTTGAGTTGATGCCAAAGAGCTCCATTTTGGTCTCATCTGACCACAACACTTTCACCCAGTTGTCCTCTGAATCATTCAGATGTTCATTGGCAAACTTCAGACGGGCATGTATATGTGCTTTCTTGAGCAGGGGGACCTTGCGGGCGCTGCAGGATTTCAGTCCTTCATGGCGTAGTGTGTTACCAATTGTTTTCTTGGTGACTATGGTCCCAGCTGCCTTTAGATCATTGACAAGATCCTCCCGTGTAGTTCTGGGCTGATTCCTCACCGTTCTCATGACCATTGCAACTCCACGAGGTGAGATCTTGCATGGAGCCCCAGACCGAGGGAGATTGACAGTTCTTTTGTGTTTCTTCCATTTGCGAATAATCAAACCAACTGTTGTCATCTTCTCACCAAGCTGCTTGGCAATGGTCTTGTAGCCCATTCCAGCCTCGTGTAGGTCTACAATCTTGTCCCTGACATCCTTGGAGAGCTCTTTGTTCTTGGCCATGGTGGAGTTTGGAATCTGATTGATCGATTGCTTCTGTGGACAGGTGTCTTTTATACAGGTAACAAGCTGAGATTAGGAGCACTCCCTTTAAGAGTGCGCTCCTAATCTCAGCTCGTTACCTGTATAAAAGACATCTGGGAGCCAGAAATCTTTCTGATTGAGAGGGGGTCAAATACTTATTTCCCTCATTAAAATGCAAATCAATTTATAACATTTTTGACATGCGTTTTTTCTGGATTTTTTTGTTGTTATTCTGTCTCTCACTGTTCAAATAAACCTACCATTAAAATTATAGACTGATCATTTCTTTGTTAGTGGGCAAACGTACAAAATCAGCAGGGGATCAAATACTTTTTTATCACTGTAGGTAGAAATAAAATAAAATAAATCACGGCGTTTCAATCGCAACACAAGCGACCGTCATCAGGCGGAACCGATACAGCAGGACAACTGCTGATTGTCAACTGCTGATTGTCAACTGCTGATTGTCAACTGCTGATTGTCCTGCTGTATCGGTTCCGCCTGATGACGGTCGCTTGTGTTGCGATTGAAACGTCGTGATTTATTTTATTTTATTTCTACCTACGTGACTTTACCGAAAGAACCAAAGAGTATGGATTCCTGCAGTCACGAAAGCTTCAAATCATTTTTATATTGGAACATATACAGGTAGTCCTCTACTTACGATGGAGATGCATTACGACGACCCCCATCATAAGTAAAAAAATATCGTAAGTCGAAGATGGCCTAGCCTACCCAGGAGTCTTAAAGAATGGTGATAATTGAGCAAAACAGAGCAATTTACAGTACCGTACTGTATAAACTATCCTGTATGTATGTATTAGTTACAATACTGTATTGCACAGTAAAATGTAAAGTAAAAAAACAAGGTATATTCTTAGCCTACTATATGAACTGCAATTTAATAGAAAGGCAGGAGATGCGTACATCCCGGCAGCATCCCAACATACAGTATCGTACCTCGTACGCTGCTGCGTTTGCCTGCCGCGCGAAATTTAAAATATCTTACAATTTTATCGTATCACAATCGTAAGATAGAAATATCGTAAGTCGGACCATCGTAACTCGGGGACTATCTGTATTAGAGAAAGGAGATGAGAGCAGACAGATAGTCGTATGAATGCTCCCCTGTTTTATATGGCAACAGACAATGGGAAATATGTGTAAGGTATTTTATTGGTATTTTTTTACATTGATCACTTGGGTGTTGTCTTTTGTCAGGGTCAGCCAGGCAAACGAGGACGGCAGGTAGGACAGACGCCTTTACATTTTCATGTTCAAAATTTTCCGTGTGTATTTTCCCATTGCTGTTGGATCTAACAACTGGTGTCGTGTGTGCATTGAAAGGGGCTGCCAGGTGTAGATGGATTGCAAGGTTTACAGGGCTCTCCGGGAGAAACGGGCCCACCAGGACCAAGAGGACCTGAGGTTAGAATGTATAACCCAATGTTCTCTTTCACAGCTGGGCAAAAGTATCGCTCAAAAGAGTGATTTCTTGCTCAAATGAGCATTGAGGCAATGCTCATCTCCTGTTTACATCCCAGAGCCAGTGGTGGAAATTCCACTTTCTATGGTGGGGGCGAGTCTATCTATAGAACAACGACTGTTGACTTTTCTAACACAGTGGTACTCATTCTATTGATTTGGAGGGATGATGGGCCGACTCAACCCCCAAATCGGATATGAACTTGCAACCTTTCGATTCCAAGCCATTCACTCTATTGCTGAGAAATGTTTGGATAGAAAGAATCACCACCGCTTGAAAATGTAATAGATTTCAAGAGAGTAAGATTGATTTCCAGTTCATTGTTTAAGCTCAACTGGGAGTTGTCTCTGAACAGGTTGGAAGATAATTGTTATTGAATTAATAAAGGCTGAATAAATGTGATGTGATTTCACCAATTACAGGGTAACAAGGGCGATGCTGGGCTGTTGGGGATGCCAGGCGCTCGGGGTCCTCAGGGTCTAAAGGTTAGATAGCAGCTCAGCTTTATTCACTGCTTGATGTCTGGCTTTTGAAAAAGCCCGAATGTAAATTCTGCATGAATAAAATAATTAAGCTCTTTCCCCTCGCTTTATACGGGTTCGGTCAGTGCGATTTCGCGTATATGTGGCTAACCCATTTCTACCCAAAATTCTCTATATGCGGTTAGAATTCACTAATATGCGGCTGGACGTGGGACAACATTGTTTGTGTACTGCATCCGTGGTATACTCAGCAGGCATCTACTACCGCATTAAGTGAGGGAAACGTACACACTGTGAACATGTGCAGTGTGATTAGAATGTGGCTCGGACATCCTTCTAAGAGTCTGAATCCTCAAACCCATGCCCTGTGGGAACCCCTCTGTAATGATATCAGAAATTAAGGTTTTATTACATTATAAGAAATACTGACAGTAATCATGATATATTATTTCATTACAGGGAGAGCCGGGGCTTAAAGGAGACACGGTGATGGAACGCATATCCCTGGCATCACTTTAAATGTTATTACAGCTAATGAACACAACGTTCAGTAAAACTTTTTAGTTAGAATTCATGTTGTTTAATTGTGTTTTCGAAATAATTTTCAATCTCTAGAGTCTTGTTAATAGTCTGTCAATTTTTGTTCCATTCCTCAGGGTGCTGGGGAAAAAGGGGATCATGGGATTAAGGGAGAAAAGGTAATATATTTTTGGAACACATTTATTTTGTACTAGCTTTACTACCCGGCTTCGCCCGAGACTTGGATTCTTGTCTTGGATTAATACACGGCCTACGCGGAGGGTTGGGGGGGGGATGCGTGACGTCAGCAGGCACACTGCGTGACGCTGCCGCATACGGGTGACGTCACAGATGTGACGTCACCGCTCACTTGCCGCGCAAAATATATCCATTATTGCGCCCCCCCCCCCAAAAAAAATACAAAAGTCTATCTTTATACTTTTTGCATTGTGTACAGTCTGGAAGCTGCCCACATGCCAAATTTCAAGTTTGTTGCATGTTGGGAAGTATGCTAAACTTTTCTAACAGACACACATATTCACAAATTTCCCTTTTATATATATAGATTATAGAGACCTTGGTGTGTGAGGGCTTGGATGACTGTAAATTTCCACTCAGTCAAATGTATTTTTATACTCTACAATGGCTAGGCATAATGGTACATGATATTCATCAGTCTTGGTCTAAATTTGCAATGATTTTCGTGAACAATTTATATGTTTGACAGGAGGCTAATGGGTCTGCAATTCTTAAAGTCAAATTTCTCTCCACTTTTAAATAGAAGATTGATTGAGGCAGCAAGAGGCACAAAGGGGAACATGGATCAGATACTGTAAATTAGAGACATTGTCGAGGCTGTTGGCTTGAGACTGACGATGGAGTCGCAGCTAAAGGAGGATATCCACTGCAGAGGTGGAGATGGTTCAGCTGATGTGCAGGAGTTTGATAGATTGTTGTATCACGAGACCATGAGGGATGGCGACAATTTTGTGAGGCCATCTAACAGCGGACATAGTATTACTGATCGTGATTATATAAGAGAATAAATATTTTATCATGCAGTTTTGAAAAGCATATCTCTTTGGTCTTCCCGTGCAGGGAAGCACAGGGGTGCATGGGATGATTGGACCGAAGGTAACGCATTCTATTCCATTAACAATAATGTATTTTATATTTGCTCAGAAAAATTATTGTCTGAGTCTTAACACACAGGAGCATTTCTACTTATTTCTGGATTATTTTTAGTCGAGTAATTTTCTTTGTGTTGGAGTAAACTGGAATAGCTAAAGACAATCAATGCACACAAGGGGATAACACTCGTAAATTTGTTCACACAGAGTCACTAACCTACTTGCTCTGCTGCCCTGCACAGGCTATTTTGTAGGCCCACTGGCAAGTGACTCACACGTGGTAATCTTTGCATTTTTCAAGGGTTCTGGGCCATGGATGTGGGCCAGCGTGCCCGGCTGGAACGTTTCCACAGTCATGCCCGGCCATGTTGATGTTTGTCCACGTGTTGCAGGGCGATGGGGGGCCCAAGGGGGATGATGGACCTCCAGGACGAAGGGGTCCCATGGGCAAACCTGGGAAGCGTGGCAAACACGTAAGCATTATCGCAACAGGATGTATATATACCTAGTTTCTAAACTGGGTGCTGTAATATATTATGTGCAATGCTACCCTCGGCCTCATCAAAACGTGTCCTACATATATATAAACTGTTACATAACAGGAATCTTCTCATTTTATTTTAATTAGACTCATTTAGCAGCTCATTATTAATGGCTGTAAAATGCCATTAGAAAGGTTTTTGAAAATGTAATGTAAAATTTTGCATGCAACATTACATTTAAAAATTATGCTTTTCCACAACCACTTTGTCTCAAGGCAGGCTAAATTATTGTTCAAATGAGCATTGGGCAGGGTTGACAGTGACCAGACGCCAGTGGTGGAATTTCAATGTTACTATGTGATGGAAGTCAATCTGTCCATTGTGTCTGTGCTCATGGACCACTCTTTGTGATCTCCGCCCAGCGAGGGAGTTAATCCTTGTGTTGTTCTGCAGGGCTCCAAGGGAGACTTGGGCCCACGTGGGCCCCCAGGAAACCAAGGGTCCCCAGGCCCTCCCGGCATCTCTGGCCCCTTAATGGAGGCAGATGGTATGTGTGTGAATGGGTGAATGTGTACATGTGCTATAGCCGCTACGCTTAATCCCGCCGTTTGGCATGCTCTTTACCATGTTTCTAAAATTATTGTTGAAACTGATGAGTAATTTGCATATCGATTGGTTTCACAGTGTGAAGTATTATGATTTGCAGTAAATATGAATTGATCCGGTTTGTGTTGAGCTTAGACAATATTGATGAACAATTGAAGATGCATAAAGCTTTGTTTCAATTGGGGACTAAAACACAGTGGCTGGAAGAAAAACATGTTCACGGACCGAACTCCCATGAGAGAATTTGATTAAACGAGGAAAAATATCAATAGCACTTAGTCGAATGAATGGTGGTTTGCATCAGACCAGCAAATGAAAATGGGCAAGCCCTTTGATGAAGAGCGCCATGCATAATCGAAGACAACTCAGCTGTGACTCATCCAGTCGGGATATGCTGCGTTACTGAACGCTCTTATTAGCTTATGGAAAGGCAATATTTCATTTTGGCCACATGTTATATGTTGAAAGCATGTCAATAGAAATATATCTCTTCATTAAAGATATACAACTTTATCAAATGTATGGTGTGATGCACAAATAGTGGAAGTTACTAAAGCAAGCTTCATATTTTCCAAATTTTCCTGTTGTATTGTTTACTTTTATGATTAAAACAGCATTTTATCAAATTTCGATTTTAAGCTTTCGTACAGTGAGGGAAAAAAGTATTTGATCCCCTGCTGATTTTGTACGTTTGCCCACTGACAAAGAAATGATCAGTCTAGAATTTTAATGGTAGGTTTATTTGAACAGTGAGAGACAGAATAACAACAAAAAAATCCAGAAAAACGCTTGTCAAAAATGTTATAAATTGATTTGCATTTTAATGAGGGAAATCAGTATTTGACCCCCTCTCAATCAGAAATATTTCTGGCTCCCAGGTGTCTTTTATACAGGTAACGAGCTGAGATTAGGAGCACACTCTTAAAGGGAGTGCTCCTAATCTCACCTTGTTACCTGTATAAGAGACACCTGTCCACAGAAGCAATCAATCAATCAGATTCCAAACTCTCCACCATGGCCAAGACCAAAGAGCTCTCCAAGGATGTCAGGGACAAGATTGTAGACCTACACAAGGCTGGAATGGGCTACAAGACCATTGCCAAGCAGCTTGGTGAGAAGGTGACAACAGTTGGTGCGATTATTCGCAAATGGAATAAACACTAAAGAACTGTCAATCTCCCTCGGCCTGGGGTTCCATGCAAGATCTCACCTCGTGGAGTTGCAATGATCATGAGAACGGTGAGGAATCAGCCCAGAACTACACGTGAGGATCTTGTCAATGATCTCAAGGCAGCTGGGACCATAGTCACCAAGAAAACAATTGGTAACACACTACGCCGTGAAGGACTGAAATCCTGCAGCGCCTGCAAGGTCCCCCTGCTCAAGAAAGCACATATACTGCCCGTCTGAAGTTTGCCAATGAACATCTGAATGATTCAGAGGACAACTGGGTGAAAGTGTTGTGGTCAGATGAGACCAAAATGGAGCTCTTGGGCATCAACTCAACTCGCCGTGTTTGGAGGAGGAGGAATGCTGCCTATGACTCCAAGAACACCATCCCCACCGTCAAACATGGAGGTGGAAACATGCTTTGGGGGTGTTTTTCTGCTAAGGGGACAGGACAACTTCACCGCATCAAAGGGACGATGGACGGGGCCATGTATCGTCAAATCTTGGGTGAGAACCTCCTTCCCTCAGCCAGGGCATTGAAAATGGGTCGTGGATGGGTATTCCAGGATGACAATGACCCAAAACACACGGCCAAGGCAACAAAGGAGTGGCTCAAGAAGAAGCACATGAAGGTCCTGGAGTGGCCTAGCCAGTCTCCAGACCTTAATCCCATAGACAATCTGTGGAGGGAGCTGAAGGTTCGAGTTGCCAAACGTCAGCCTCGAAATTTTAATGACTTGGAGAAGATCTGCAAAGAGGAGTGGGACAAAATCCCTCCTGAGATGTGTGCAAACCTGGTGGCCAACTACAAGAAACGTCTGACCTCTGTGATTGCCAACAAGGGTTTTGCCACCAAGTACTAAGTCATGTTTTGCAGAGGGGTCAAATACTTATTTCCCTCATTACAATGCAAATCAATTTATAACATTTTTGACATGCGTTTTTCTGGATTTTGTTGTTGTTATTCTGTCTCTCACTGTTCAAATAAACCTACCATCAAAATGATAGACTGATCATTTCTTTGTTAGTGGGCAAACGTACAAAATCAGCAGGAGATCAAATACTTTTTTCCCTCACTGTAACTGCAGGGATTCATATTCTTGGTTCTTTCGGTAAAGTCACGTAGAAGGGAAATAATAAAATAATACAAATAAAACAACGTTTCGATTGCAACACAAGCAATCATCATCAGGTGTGAAAACCACAGCAAGAAAATTTTTAAAAGTGGCGTTTTTTTCTTAACGTTAGCACCACGGACAGCAACTGGCGGTTGTTCAGACGGACGAGTCCATCTATGCTCGGAACGGAGGAGGGGAGAGATAGAAAAAGAATGGAATGCGGTCTGAAAGTCACCGTAAGCGTGAACACAATCAATTAAGACCAGAAATGGTTTATCAAATACTTCCAATGATTGCTAAGCCAGAATCCATCTTCTCGGTTGAAATTGTCTGTGTTTGTATATGTGGATAGCCTCATGAACGAATCTATCATGGTAGCCAGAAGGCTTGCAGAGAACCTCTGTCTTGGAGAAGTCAATGTCACGTAGCACGTACGTAGCACGTACACCAAGCTCTCAAGGCTAATGGTTACTCCAACTACACAATCTGCAACCATTAAAAAGGACCCTCTTGAATAGCTATTAAAAACCATCACCTTACCCTACATTGCGGAGGTCACATAAAAGATCTCCAAAATCTTGAATAAACAGGTCCGATTCAACACAGTACATAAAATCCGTGATCTGGTCCCGTCTGTAAAAGATGTGATTCCAGACATACAGTAGCCTGGCGTCTACAAACTAAGTTGCCTCTGTGGTAGCAGTTATATTAGAGAAACCAACGACATGTCTCGGACCTCATCCGTGAACACAAAGCAGACCTAATACACGGTTAGACCAACACCTCAGCCGTGGCAGACCACTGTTATAATTCAGTGGGCTCACATGACATTGACTTCTCCAAGACAGAGGTTCTCTGCAAGCCATCTGGCTACCATGAGAGATTCGTTCATGAGGCTCTCCACATATACAAACACAGAGACAATTTCAACCAAGAATATGGATTCTGGCTTAGCAATCATTGGAAGGATTTGATCAATCATTTCGGGTCTTAATGGATTGTGTTCACACTTACGGTGACTTTCAGACCACATTCCATTCTCTTTCTATCTCCCCCCTCCTCCGTTCCGAGCATAGATGGACTCGTCAGTCTGAACAACCGCCAGTTGCTGTCCGTGGTGCTAACGTTAAGAAAAAAAACGCCACTTTTTTCAAATTTTCTTGCTGTAGTTTTCACATCTGATGATGATTGCTTGTGTTGCAATCGAAACGTCGTGATAATTGTATTGTTTTATTTGTATTATTTCATTATTTCCCTTCTAGCATTTTATCAGTACACATTTTCTCTCTAATAATTGAGTTGGTAAATGTATATCCAGAAATAATACTGTGCACATTATAAACATAAGTTTTGGAGCCAATTCATGTGTCGAGTAAATAAAGACTCATTATAAATAGCCAGCCAGTTGGTGAATCTGAAAAATGTTGCAAAATTCCCTTCCCATGGGCATCGAGGTGAAATGTCCTAGCTTGCCAACAGAATGCAGTACAGAAAAGTGTGGACTGATATAATGTCCCTTCTGTATGGGATAGAGTGTTGCCCCCTCACGAGAGTGCGTATTCTCCAGGTGTTCCGGTTTCCTCCCGAATTTATAAACTCTCACTACTTAGCTGAAAATATATTAATATATAGAGAACTGAAGAGCACTTGTTGTCTCCATCTCAACGCCTGGCAGCCCTCCAGCTTATATGTGGTTCCTCAAATAAACAACGCTATATACAACTAATCAATAGTTTTTGTTCGATCATTGTATGGTTAGAAACTCAAAACATGCATTTTTAGGGCATACCATTTATAGCTGAAATGTTACTTGTGCAGATTTCCCCCCTTTTTCTTATAGGTGTTTGTGTGCGACTGCAGGTGGTCAGATGCATGGAAGAAAGGGAGAGCGAGGGCCTCAAGGACAGCCTGGACCACCAGGAAAGTGCCTGTGTCCTCATCTGAACCCCAAGACTCAAAATCCAATGGTTCAATCAGGTGTACAACCCTTTCCTACATTACCAACTGTAAGTGACTCTGGAAGTAAAATTCACTCATTCACATGTTTTTTTAGATTATTTAAATTCCAGATTTGAAGCTTTCGTGACTGCAAAGATTCATACTCTTTGGTTTTTTCGGTAAAGTCACGTAGGTAAAAAATAAAATAAAAATAAATGAAAAACAACTACATTTAAATTCCCCACCAAATTGCATTTACCATGAGCTACCACAAGAATGCATGCATTGGTGATTTTAAATGCAAGAGTGTAAAGGTCCACTGTATGTGCACATTTTGAGGGTTTGCTCCTGTGAACCTGTACACGTTGTGCTTTGTAGGTGTATGTAGTAAAAGATCAAGAGGAGCTGGATCGATTTAATGTACCAAGTACAATTGTCTTTCGTCGGGATATTCGCTCACTTTTCTTCAAGGAACCAACAGGCTGGGTGCCTATCCAGGTCTGACTCTGCCTGACAGCGCACTGTTACATAACTGAACATGACACACTTAAGGTCTCTCTTAACATCAGCAGACTGAATTGTCTGTTTAAATATATTGCTACATTGGGTTGGGAGCTATACATGAATTATCACGATTTGAAATGTTAATATTTGGATCACAGCCAGAAATACTTGCTCACTGCACAACATATTAAACAAGCATATTAATAAGTATATTTTTTTGATCATCAAAACTAGCTGGCTCCTCCACATTTCACGGGCTACTGTGGAGATGGGACGGTGCAGGAAGAAAATGGGGAAGAATGCGATGATGGCAATGATGTCAGCTCTGACACCTGTATAGGTGGGTCCACCACTTGAAAAAATGTGTTGTTGGAAAGCATACTCTTTTTGCAAGAACGAGCCCAGAATTGTTGTTTCAGCCTGTCACAAGACCTCTTTAAATGTGCCAGGCTGCAAGAAGTCATTCTGTGGCGATGGCCACCAGCAAGAAGGAGAGGAGGAGTGTGACAAAGAGGACTTTGGCTTCCACACCTGCGGGACTTATCTTCCTGGGTAAGGCCTTGCTGTCCTGCATAACGAATGGTATTCTTTGAAGTTTAGAAGTACTGTTTGGATTAATGAAAAATATTGCACAAACATGCTTAATTATTTCTGGAATGCATGTGTTAAACAGTCACATCCTAAACATGAGACATGAAGATGGGGTGGCTGTCATCTTTATTAGTTGCCCTGAAAGTGGCAGTAATTGCACATTCCCTTGGAGGGGACCAGTATTTTTATGGGAGAGCCACTGTTAACTTCCCACAAAGTGGTAATCATTTTTTGACCACAGACGGATGATGGGTCGTTGATCCCTCATCGGGATTTGAACTTGTAACCTTCTGAATGGGCGTTGAGTGTTCTGCCACCTACAGTGAGGGAAAAAGTATTTGATCCCCTGCTGATTTTGTATGTTTGCCCACTGACAAAGAAATGATCAGTCTATAATTTTAATGGTAGGTTTATTTGAACAGTGAGAGACAGAATAACAACAGAAAAATGCAGAAAAACGCATGTCAAAAATGTTATAAATTGATTTGCATTTTAATGAGGGCAATAAGTATTTGAGCCCCTCAATCAGAAAGATTGCTGGCTCCCAGGTGTCTTTTATACAGGTAACGAGCTGAGATTAGGAGCACACTCTTAAAGGGAGTGTTCTTAATCTCAGCTTGTTACCTGTATAAAAGACACCTGTCCACAGAAGCAATCAATCAGATTCCCAACTCTCCACCATGGCCAAGACCAAAGCGCTCTCCAAGGGTGTCAGGGACAAGATTGTAGACCTACACAAGGCTGGAATGGGCTACAAGACCATTGCCAAGCAGCTTGGTGAGAAGGTGACAACAGTTGGTGCGATTATTCGCAAATGGAAGAAACACAAAAGAACTGTCAATCTCCCTCGGCCTGGGGCTCCATGCAAGATCTCACCTCATGGAGTTGCAATGATCATGAGAACGGTGAGGAATCAGCCCAGAACTACACGGGAGGATCTTGTCAATGATTTCAAGGCAGCTGGGACCATAGTCACCAAGAAAACAATTGGTAACACACTACGCCGTGAAGGACGGAAATCCTGCAGCACCCGCAAGGTCCCCCTGCTCAAGAAAGCACATATACATGCCCGTCTGAAGTTTCCCAATGAACATCTAAATGATTCAGAGGACAACTGGGTGAAAGTGTTGTGGTCAGATGAGACCAAAATGGAGCTCTCTGGCATCAACTCAACTCGCCATGTTTGGAGGAGGAGGAATGTTGCCTATGACCCCAAGAACACCATCCCCACCGTCAAACATGGAAGTGGAAACATTATGCTTTGGGGGTGTTTTTCTGCTAAGGGGACAGGACAACTTCACCGCATCAAAGGGACGATGGACGGGGTCATGTACCGTCAAATCTTGGGTGAGAACCTCCTTCCCTCAGCCACGGCATTGAAAATGGGTCGTGGATGCATGACAATGACCCAAAACACACGGCCAAGGCAACAAAGGATTGGCTCAAGAAGCACATTAAGGTCCTGGGGTGGCCTAGCCAGTCTCCAGACCTTAATCCCATAGAAAATCTGTGGAGGGAGCTGAAGGTTTGAGTTGCCAAACGTCAGCCTCAAAACCTTAATGGCTTGGAGAAGATCTGCAAAGAGTGGGACAAAATCCCTCCTGAGATGTGTGCAAACCTGGTGGCCAACTACAAGAAACGTCTGACCTCTGTGATTGCCAACAAGGGTTTTTCCACCAAGTACTGTACTAAGTCATGTTTTGCAGAGGGGTCAAATACTTAATTCCCTCATTAAAATGCAAATCAATTTATAACATTTTTGACATGCGTTTTTTCTGGATTTTGTTGTTATTCTGTCTCTCACTGTTCAAATAAACCTACCATTACAATTATAGACTGATCATTTCTTCGTCAGTGGGCAAATGTACAAAATCAGCAGAGGATCAAATACTTTTTTCCCTCACTGTATCCAGATGTGAAATGTCATGGGATGGAATAAATGTACATTGATATTGCTTTCATCGTGTAGTTCATAGTTCATTTATTTGGTATAGCGCCTTGAGCCATTCGGCTCTTGAATCGGGTGCAACCGCAACAAACAAAAAACATGAACAAGAAAACATCTTAAAGTGATTATGTGACTGTGCAAACAGAAAATCCAGGAAAAAAATATCAAAATATTCCTGAAATAGCACCGTACACCAACGCTGTGTGCAAAAATCCCAGTGGGATGCAAGTCAAATAACAACAACAACCACAAGACAACTAAGATTAAGGCCATCAGTCTAACTCCGTACTACAATAAACATTAACATGGCCAAAAAAAAACCCGTTTTCGAAATCACCAAAATAAAAGCCATGAATGCAATGTAACAGTGATCATAGGGACTGTGACCGATTTTTTTACAATAAACTACATAAATAAATTGTTACACCAAAATCTAGAGCCATATTTTAGGCCACTGAATAGCAGTGGCAGCTAGGGTTGTACAACTCCTCTAGAGCAGTTTTGAGTGAAGATCTCATAGGTAGTGATTCAAGTTGCAGTTTATTGGCAATAGCATTCCAGACTCTGGGGGCATCAATAGCAAAGGCCCTTCCTCCAGTTTTTGTACGGCAATAGGGAATGTGAAGCTGGTAAATGAGCGAAGACCTGAGGTCAAATTTGTTCTTTGAAACAGAGAGGAGATCCAGTAGGTAGTCTGCGGAATTTTTTGTAAGTACATCGTGAATAAATAAGATCTGGTGCACAAGCCGTCGAACATTAAGAGATGTTAAGTTTGACCCAATGTAGAGATCACAGTGGTGAGTCCTATATGGGCAGTTCAATGCAAATCTTAAGGCCGAGTGATAGATGGAATCAAGCTTCTTCAGTACAGTACTTGGGGCTGATTTATACACGATGTCACAGTAGTCAAGTAGAGGCAGTATGGTAGCTTTTATCAATTCCAAACGGAACATTGGGGGAAAGCAGTGCTTGTGTCGATACAGAAAACCAATTTTTATTTTTGTCTTTTTACCAATATAATCAATGTGATCTTCAAAACTAAGTTTTGAATCCAGGATGACCCAAAGATACTTATAGATCTTGACTTGCTCTATTTGATAATAATTCAAGGAATGTAATTGGGGAAAAATAACTTCCTGCTTTAGTCCCGGAGAGAAGCATAGCACCTTGGTTTTGGAGGTATTCAGGACTAGTTTAAGAGAAGCTAGCTGATGTTGTAGTTTGTTGAAATCACCCTGGAGCTTAGCAATCACGTCATCCGGAGAGCGGCCAGCAGTAATCAGTATCGTGTCATCTGCAAAAAGATTTACCCTGGAATGATCCAGTTCAGTGCCAAAGTCATTGACATAAAGAGAGAACAAGAGGGGGCCAAGGATGGAACCCTGTGGAACCCCTTTTGTTATCTTAACATTGTTTGACCTCCAACCATCTGTGAATACAGTTTGGGTGCGAGAAAAGAGGTAATTTTTTAACCATTGTACTGTGTTCTCAGAAAAACCGAGGCAACTTAGTTTACTAAGCAGGGTGTTGTGGTCTACTGTATCAAAAGCTTTGGACAGGTCAAGAAAAAGACGGGCACAGTACTGCTTATTATCAAGGCTATTGTAAATTCGATTCAAAGAGTCTAATGCAGCAGATGTGGTGGGGTATTTTTTCCGGAACCCAGATTGTTTTAGATGTAGTAGATTGTTGGTGGACCGGAAACTGCTAATTTGGTAGTTCAATAATTTTAACATTTTCATCAATGGGGACAAAATTGAGATAGGTCGGTAGTTATTGGGATCATCTTTAGGGCCCCCTTTGTGAAGTGGACGGACATAGGAATGTTTCCATTCTAGAGGAACTGATGCTTCTTTGATGGACAGCTTGAAAATATGGGCTATAGGTTTGTATATTAGGTGACCAACAGTTAGTAGAGCAAAGACGGGAAAACTATCTGCTCCAGTAGAGGAGGACCCTTTGAGGTAGGACAGTTGTTTCAGAACATTACTTTCGTGGATTGGTTGGAAACTAAATTCGTTTAATGTTTGGACAGGGGTGTAGGAATTTGCAGGAGCAGGGGTGACTCCCAATACATTATCAAAAAGATTACCAGCTTCAGAAAAATGAAGGTTAAAATTGTCAACTATTTTTTTGGGATCTGAAAAATATTCCCCATTTCGGTGAAGCTCAACGGGCAGATTTTCTGTTTTGGATGCCTTTTCGATAGATTTGATTATTTTCCAAAAAATCCTGGCATTTCCATGTGATTCCAGGAGAGTGGAGGAAAAGTAGTCATTTTTTGCATGCCGTATTTTTTTACGCATCTATTCCTTAAAATCCTGTATTCTAGCCAGTCATTTACCAAATTACTTTTCTGAGCACATGCCCAAGCCTTGTCCCTAGTTTTCATGAGCTTTGTAATCAAAGGATCATACCATGGTGGGCGGTTGCCTTTAGTTTTAAATCTAACGGAGCATGTTTGTTAAGAATTTGGAGAAACGTGTACCTGAAAGTCTCCCAAGCCGTAGTCAGGTTGGGGATATCACAGACCTTGTCAATATCCGAGTGAAGCACATCATTAGTAAATGCCTGAGTGCTGAAGCGCCTCAAAGAGTGCTTCTCAACAATTTTAGGGGGGGCTTTTGGTCTGGCTGATGATCTCACACCAAAAATGAAGGAGTGATCACTAAGGTTATTACCCAGAACACCAGTCAGTGCGAAATTGTGAGGGGCATTTGTCAATAGGACGTCAAGCAGAGTTGACTGTCCCGGATTTTTTTAGGTTGGGTCTTGTGGGGACATTTATTAATTGAAACATGTTAAATTCATCTGTAAAATTTGTGGCCACGGCCAGCGGGTTTAGCCAATTCAAATTTAGATCACCCACTAAAATTATTTCACCTTTAGGGAGGCCCCCAAAAAGCTCTCTCAGTGCCGATGCAGCTTCAACATCCTTCCCACAAGGCGGTCTATAGCAGCACACTACCAATATCTGTTGATTATTTGGGAGAGTTATTCTGAGAGCCAGACCTTCAAAGCAACATTTTTTAAACAAGGAGTGGTGAACATGCAATAGTGTTACGAACATAGATGGCAATTCCACCTCCTTTAGATCTTCGGTGAAGCCGAAAAAGGTTGTAGTTTTCAATCGTAATCTGCAAGTAGTGTTATTGCATACAAAAAAATACTTCATGGTTTACACCATTCTTATTTGTTTTTATTTCATGTCACTTTTCTCCCCAGATCCTATGGACAATTAAGATGTACCATTTACTGTCGCATAGACTCAACCAACTGCCGGTTCTTCACGTGACGACAGTTTTAATCAACAAAAGCGTCATTATTCTATGTGTCAGTACATGGTGCTGTGTGCCAAAAAAATAATAATAAGTAATTCGTCATTTTTAAGTGCATGTCAAATGCAAGTCTGGAGTACTACACTTCCTGCGAAGGTGAATAGAGTAATGCCGTTTATTTATCTGCGTATGCTACACGGGCTCATTCACTCGGAAAAAAAAGTACTTAATCCGATTTACTAAAATTGTAAACGTGCATTCATGTCTGTATTACTCTGCGTTTCGTGACTTTCAAGGATGAAATCGTGTGAAACAGTTTTCTCATAAAAGGTGTAAAGTGATTCTCCACTAATATGACTTGAAAAAAGAAACGTACTTTACATGTTTACAAAGAACAAACCTTAATTCCACCATACACTCTGGTTTTAATCAACATATCAGACTATCCATTGCACTATATTCGTTAAGCATCCTGTACATTTTCTGTCCCACTGTGACCAATCCCTGGCACAATTCAACCGAGATGGACAAAATAAAGTCATACTATCTTAATTATCTCCAGCAACAGTGTCCATTAAATGCTAACGCGGAAAACATGAGTAATCATGTTTAATAAGTGATACGTTTGAAAGCGAAATATGTATTTATTTAAAAAAAGAGTAAACGAAGATGTAGCTAACATTGTAAACACAGCATGATTGATCTGCAGTGTGTCACTTTCAAGTATTTAATTGTACTCAATATTATTGAGTATTGGTGTTAGTGCTTGTAGGAACGTGATAGAATTACGAATGTTAATTGTATGTTTTTACTGTATTGCAATGGCAAAATGTGTCGTTTCATTATACAGTACGAGAACAGTAATGCCATTTTTCATTTCTCTAATTAAAAATAGCTCCATAAAATACTTGTTTATGTTTCGGTATTTTCTTGGTTGTTCATTGTGCAATTATATATTTTACATGTACACATATACTGTGCACGTTTCCCAATTAATATTGCCCCTGTATGTGAGCTAATCTTGCGTGCAGAAGCAAGATTGATTGCGATGGAGTGTGGCATTGAAAGGCTGGGAGGGATGGCAATAATGAGGGGAGCCCTTGATCGAGCAGTGGATCGATCATGGATGTTGATGATTATTTTTGCAAAGCAATGTATGTGCCCGTTATGTCCAAAATGCACTCCTAACTGTGATATCTAGCTTAACACATTCAGAAGAATTAATGTTGAATCTGTACTTCACATAAATGATATTGCAACATGTGCATTGAAAGCACTCAGAGCACAAATTAGAACTAGAAAATCGGATTATTATTTTGAGCTCATAAATGTCTTAGCTATTTCACCACAGAAAAAAATACAGTGAAGAGAAAAGTTGATTTTGCTTGTGTAAAATGATGCAATATGAAACATTATGAACTTTAATAATGTAATGCATCACAAGTGAACCACTTTTATAAATGTGTCATTACATTTGCTCTATTTTTAAAGTATATATTTAAAATGTATACATTTCATAACTTTGGTTCCATCAAATGTAATCATGTCTAAAATACATACATTACCTTGGTCATGCTGAGTAAAATCATTTGCTGCACAACTGCTGTGTATACTTGTGTTATGCTGTGCATTTTTACATTGCTAGGTAAAACTGCTATATCAGTGGGAAGGGCCTAGAGCTGACAGGTGAAATATTAATATGGACACTGAGGCAAGCCTATAAAAGCTATGACTAATGTGGGGTCCTTATTGATGATGCTCTTTTCCCTTTTTTCTGTTGCTGATCCCATTAGATGATTGCTGCTCTTGAATCGACGCACTTACAATGTTTAAAAAAAAATCTTTATTAGATTTGTTGCAGTGCTCTAACTACTAATAGTAGAATAGGCTTGGACATTTTTCACCATGCACCAGCTTAACAAAATGTTTCTTTATGTAGGTCATTATGTATGGTGAACTTGTTTTGCATCGTACGTAGCCAACCATGCTAATCGGAGGTGCTGGGGATGGACAACAAACTAAACACAAAATCCGTTTTAATGAAATTAGTTTTCAATTTAGATTTAAAAGTGCATAGCTCCAGTGGCTTCTTAATATCGGAAGGAATTGCGTTCAAGGCGGCCGCAGCCAACTAATTGTAATCCTGCAGCTTTAACATGGCACCGTGAATTTGCTAGGGATTTTAAAGTAAAAGCACAACATATTTTCTTAAAAATTGTAAACTATTTGAAAACAAAAACATGTTCATGCACAATCATGAATTCAAAGTGCAGTACAGTAATGCAGAAATGCTGCTGATACTGTATGCACAATAACGATGATACACGTACAAAATTTGTTTTAAAAAAATGTAAGCGTTTAATTTAGCTTTACACAAAATAAAATACACGTATATAATTACTGATGATGAATAGCTCTCGGGGCCAAGAAAGCCATAGCAAATGACATACAAGAGACAAATTGCTGATCCCTCGGTTTGGTGTAAGTAGGAAAGCAACTATAGCCTTAACATAATTTAATTCAAGAAGCGATGCTCATGGGAGAAGGGATTTTTTGCCTCTACGGCTGTTGGTGATTCACTCATTTGAACGTAACAGAGAGTAAGCACCACCCTGCCAAAGGCCGCATACGTGCGAGCTGACGGATATGTTCAATCGTCATGTGTCCATAGAAAAGGCACCAGCTGGTTCCTTCCTGTGAAACCCTAACCTTGGCTCTCTATCCATCATGTGTGACATTCACCGCCTACAAGTTCACTGGCTCATAACACCACACAGACCTGCTTTCAAGATATACTATTTTTTTTTAAACAATGCATATGAACATGGCATGTGGTTGGTGGATTGTTTTTCCACAGTCCCCCCCGCCACGTGTGATGATGGCAAGAGTATGAGTAAGCATTTGTATTTTCAGCAAGAAAACAGGGATGGAAATATCTAAATAAAACCGTGGCCAAAATTGTGTGGGGGTGCATTCTGAGCAACATAAACTTCCAGTTACATAACTAAGCTTTCCTACCCGGTTTCGCCCGGGACTTGGATTCACCACGTCCGGCCGCCTTTGTCTCCCCAGTGGCGATGTTCACACACCACACCAGTTACTCGTTTGAGGCTGAGTCGACTTAGAGGAGGCCCGGGACCGGTTAAAATAATCGTCACCGGTGGTGGCCTGAGTGCGGGAATCGAACTCGGATCGCCAGGTTCGTAGCGCGGCGCGCTAACCACTACACTACAACGCGTTACGCTTCCACACACAGACAGACACACACACAGACAGACACACACACAGACAGACACACACAGACACAGACAGACACATACAGACAGACACACAGACATACACAGCGCGCTAACCACTACACTACACCGCGTTACGCTTCCACATGCGAGGGTCACGTGACAGATTTAACGTCACAGCTCACTTGCCGTGCAAAAAATAAATGCATTATTGAGTTCCCCCCCCCCAAAACACAAGTGTATTTTTATAATATTTGCATGGTGCACAGTCTGGAAAGTACCCACATGGCAAATTTCAAGTTTGTTGCATGTCGGGAAGTATGCTAAACATTTTGAACAGACCCACAAACACAACTTTGCCTTTATATATACGGAGATACAGTATCTTCTTTGGTTCTTTCGGTAAAGTCACGTAGAATGAGAATAAAATAATAAATTGATAAAATAAAATAACACAATAATATTCTCACGACGTTTCGGCCACAACACAAGCGGCCTTCATCAGGTGTGAATCGTAACATTGGCTACGAAAGCCTCCGTGTTCAGTGAAATTCATTGTCACGACAACTTCAGCTAACGATGCCGCTGTGTCCTTAATGACAAACTGAACCCAGCTTTGCGCTGTCCTACCAAACAGTCTCGTCCCTTCACCTGATGAAGGCCGCTTGTGTTGTGGCCGAAACGTCGTGAGAATATTATTGTGTTATTTTATTTTATCAATTTATTATTTTATTCTCATTCTACGTGACTTTACCGAAAGAACCAAAGAAGATGAATCCTTGCAGTCACGAAAGCTTTAAATGGAGATACAGTATTTTCACAATGAAAGATTTTGACAAATGGTAATTCTACCTAATCTGATTGAAGGAAATGTTACCCTTCTCCACAGAGATGATCATGTTTAGACGTGATAAATTACTTTATATTTCTAGCAACAGTGACTGCCTTAACAGTTGGAAAAGAAGGGATATCATGATTTTCTGTAACTTTACATGTTTAGTAGGGGTATAATTTTCACCTCTTAGCTTCCCCCACCCCCTCTCCTATAATTTTATGAATCGTCCTAATTCAGGGCCGTGATTCCATCCAAAATCTTTTAGCGGTCTCTAGCGGCTACAATGATCACGTAAATCCATCAACAGCAACATCCACTAAAGGAACCCAACAAAACTGATTCACATGTAGTGGAGTAACGCGCACGGGGTTTTGCAAACAGCGTGCACGCGTGTGTGAGCTGCGGACAGCACGGTCACGTCAGGGCACACAGGTGGTGGGGAGAGAGAGCGATCCAGAGGTAGGCGACCAATTAAGAGCCATAGCGGTGATTGGCTGGCTGCAAACGCGGAGTAGACGCCAGGGTGGCAAGAGATTGAGACGTTAAGGGGGAAGCCACTTGCGAGAGGCGTCGGGATGACGCCGGCTTAATGAGGGCCATCTGGGGGGGCACTTAATGAGGAGGGGGATAAATGGGGAACGTGTGAGGCAGAGAGGTTGAGTTGGTTCCAGTGAAGACAAGAATGAGCACGAGAAGTCCGGGACCCTGCTCGCCACCTCCAGCGGTGATGGCTGATCCCCTGCGCTGGAGGCAAGGGCGAGGTTGGAGGTGTGAGGGTAGACAGGCTACCAGTAGAGAGGCTAGCGGGGTATATGGTGAGAGGCGAGCAGAGGATATTGTGAGAGGCTAACAGTGGAGAAGCTAGCGGAGCGAGAGGGAGCGAGCGAAGCGTGGCAGACGAGCAGTACAAGTGGAAGAATTGCGAGGGAGATACGTGGTGTAGAACGCGAGGAGTTTTGTACGAATAAAGTGACACAGAAGAAAAATAAGTTGTTCCGCGTGAAATAACAGCACTACACATACACACGCAACTCGCCTGTACCTTGAGCTTGTATTCATTTACACGTGCCTGTGTAAATACATTGCTACATCGAGGCCTCTACACGCCGTGTCAGTCAAGAGGGTTGTTGGGCCATAATTTAACCACCACTGATATCAGTGGTTTGGAATCTAACTTGGTTTCCACCTTCATATGGCAATGTGCTACGCACTGGACCCCCAACACTCCCCATCACGAGCCTAGGAATTGATATTTATAAATGCATATATGCATGATTACACCTCTATTTTTTATACCCATTCTAAATGTGATGGAATAATCCCAGACACAACATACTATAGTGAATAATTAAGATTTGATATACAGTAGTTGTATACGGCATATTAAACAAATCTATGGAATGTAAACTGTCATGTCTGCCTACCATGTTTTTTTACACCATATTTCATGCATTCAATCTCCAGTTTATCTACGACCCCAATCCATTATAGTAACATGGTTGACATTTGTAAATGTCTGTTGGGCTACAAATGCAATTACCGGAAGCTTACATTACGTAGTTGCTTTTCATATCGATTGAGAAGGCATGCGTAAGTAATGAGCAGAGACTGTTGTCCAGCACTTTACATTGGTCAAACATATTCGTTGGACTGCAGTTGTAAAACACGTACTCTTTTTGATGGAAATACGTTTTCAAAAGGCTCGTTTCGATACAAATACAGTACTTAGTTATTGTCATTACACATTTTCTATGTATATTTCTGGAGTCGAATTACAGAATACTAGAAACCCAAATAAAAAATTATGTTCATATATTACAAAGTATATTTTAATGCAATATTAAGTTCTGCTGTTTCTTGACACCACATGCTGCAGATTTAATATGAAGATCTCAAACTTCAGTTTGATAAGGAATACAAACAACAAACATATGTGCTGCATAGCCGGAATATCAGATAGCCATAAAGCTTTTGCGAATACAAAAAAGTTAACTCCCATTGTATATCTTATTCACGTCATATAACTAATCAATACTTGTATGTATTCGTTGTATTTATTTGACAGACAAGCCGCACTTAAAGGCCTGAAAATACAGATGTTAGCTTATATTACTGCAGTATTACTGTCTTTGTGTAGGAAATGTAGTCTTGTCTTTTCTATGGAAAGCACTAAGGTCAGTTATGTCTCAACACTTCAGTGCATGATCCAATTATGTTGAGTGGATAATTAGAGTAATGCAGTTTTTAAGGGGTAAAACGTGACCACTACAATATTGCTGCATGGTATACTGGTCAGTAAATTGAGCCCGGGGACGTTAAAAGCACAGCTATGCCTTGTCATTAGGGCGGATATTCTCCACTTGGAAGATTGGGAGGTGGTGTGAAAAATGGATTTCAGCCGCCCAACAAAAAAGGGACATAAAGTACAGTAATAGCGAATTGCTCAAATTTTAACTGGAAAATATCTATGTATTACACACACATAGTGGTAGGAAACGTAGTGGACTGGAAGCCCAACCGGGATTAATTCACAGGAGGC